GAGGAGGAGGAGGAGAAGGAGGCAAGGAGGCAAGGAGGCAAGGAGGCAAGGAGGAGGAGGAGAACAGGAGGAGGAGGAGGAGGAGGAGGAGGTGGTGGTGGCTCGTAGCTCGGAGGAGGAGGAGGAGGTGGAGGAGGAGGAGGATGTGGATCGTAGCTAGGAGGAGGAAGAGGAGGAGGTGTAGGAGGAGGAGGACGAGGAGGAGGAGGAGGAGGAGGGAGGGAGGAAGCAAGGAGGAGGACTGGGACTATTGGGCGCCGTAGGCCTCTTCTGGCCTCCGGGGAGCCCCCAGAGACCTCCTTTGGCCCTGTGCGGGACCACCGAGGGCCTCCGCGGGGCTGCCGAGGCCCGCCGAAGGCCTCCGAGGGCCGCTGAGGGCCGCCGAGGGCTGCCGAGGGCCGCCGAGATGCCCCCGAGGGCGGCGAGCGCCTTGGAGTTCCTGATGCCCTCCAGGTACTTGAGATCCTCGTCCCTCTGCGCCTGGTTCCTGCAGGGGCGGGGGGCGGGCGGCCGGCCGGTCGACTTGGCGTGGCGGCGGGGTGAGACCCACAGGCCTCCAGCGGCCCGAGCAGGGCCAAGGGCCCTCAGCATCCTCCATGCTCCTGCGCATCACCCCGAGAAAGGGCCCCCGAAACGCAAGGAGGAAGCCACCTCCTCGAGCCCCGATCCGCGACGCGCAGGAGCAGCCCTGGGCAAGAACGACCTTTGGTGCGTGGCGTGGCGGCGGCGCGGCGAGAGAGACGGGGGCCGCCACGCCATCGGGAAGATCGACGCCAGCTCTGAGTTATCCTTAGGAGGTCCATCGTGATCGAGGCTGCTCTAGCGGCACACTTTCTGCAGGGGGGGGGGGAGGGGGGGCGAGAGAGTGATCGGGTTGCCAGAGGTGCCCCCGGCCCAAGGTGCCCCCAGGATTTCAGAGGCCACCCGCAGCCCCCCAGAGAAGCTCTCAGGAGGGCAAGAGGGATGTGGAGCGAAAAGCTGGGGGCACCTGGGCCAGAGACATCTTTGGCAGCCCCCGAACCGAGTGAGGGCCCGAAGACGGCTCGAGCCCGATGCGCGGGCAATCTCGGACGCGTCCTCGCGCGGCCTGGCCTGGGTGGGCACCTGCCCAGTGGGTCGGGGTGCCAGGGCCACGGACCAGCTGAGGAGGATGACGATGGCGATGGCGACGGTGGTGAGGATGATGCTGATGCTGATGCTGATGATGCTGCTGATCGAATCGGTATGACTCCATTTCACGTAACATATCAACGGGAAACATTGACCTGGATCGCTCCCTCTGACATCATGAAAACACGAACGAATTGAGACGGTCACGGAAGGGCGGATGAGGCCGCCTGCGAGCAGCCCACACAAAGTCATCTGCACTGCACCACCTCGAAAAGCGTACGACAAGCTACTCCTGTCAAGTCTGCAAGGAATCTCTCATCCTACTCCTGATCGTCTGTTTGGGGTCGACGGTGGTGGTATGCTGTAGGCCACCTGCGAACGTATTCAGTTATATGCTTATCACTACATCCTCAACTCACACTTGCTGCTCACACCTCCTGCCCTCTCGTCAGGGCAAATGTCTTGGCTTCGTGGGCCCTGATGCGGTCCCAATACTTCCCGACTCCACCTAGCTTAGCCCTTGCGATTGCCGAGACCAAGTTCACCTGCTCCAAGCTGTCTCCGAGCAAATCATACACCTGCTCGGATTCGTCGTAGGATGGGTATGCCGCCGAGTAGCTCGTGAGGTTGATAATCCTATCGTCCACCATCGTGATGTCTGAGGGGTCGGTGAGCAATGTCTCGATTTCTGGGGTTTGTCTCATCAAGAACTTCATGGAATCCTGGTTAACGACCGCAACATCAAGCATCGCCTCCAAATAAATCGCATCCCGGTCTAAATGTGGCACCTTTCCAGACACCAGTGGCGCCCAGCTGAGCCCATCCAGCAAACTACCTGACCCAATCAATGGGCAACTTTCAGCCTTGCACCCAGCCCACTCCAAGAACGTCGGCGCCATGTCCACGTGGGAGACCAAGTCAGTGACTGGCGTGTTTGCAGTGATGCCAGGTCCGACCACGTACAACGGCACCCGCGTCCCCTGCTCGTACAGGGTGCCCTTCACGGGCCCGTGGTCGGTAGATATGACGAGGTAGGTGCTGTCGAGGGCGGCCCTCTCGGAGAGGAAGTCGTAGACGACCCCCAGAGACACGTCCACCCAGCGCAGGGCGGCCAGCTCGTGCCGACGCTCCGCGTTCGTGGACACGGCCGAGGCGTCCCAGATCGCCTCGCGCGACGCCATAGTGCAGCTGGAGCAATACCTCGACACGTCGGGCGCCTGCCGCAGGACCCCCGCCGGCGTCTGCGAGGAGTTGAACAGCCCGAGCAGCGCGTCCGAGGACTCCGGCGGGTGGTGCGGCAGCGTCGCGGCGAAGTACAGGAAGAACGGCCGCTGGCTCTTCATCGCGCCGTCCATGAACCTGAGCGCCGATTCCGTGATCCATTCCATGTTGTGTGAGAACTGGCCGCAGATCGCTGCCGTGCACGTGTTCTGGTTCTGTATGTACAGGCCGTCAACAAAGTCAAAACCTGCGCTCTGCACCAAAGATGTCTGGTCCGAGTATGGAGTGTCGTAATCAGCATTATCCGCTTCCGAATTCAAGCCCCACTTACCCACCATTCCAGTTGTATATCCCATAGATCGCAATGATTGTGCGACATTCTTCTGCATGTCAGCAGGGCCGAAATAAGTGACACCCTCGCCCACAAATGCAGATTTTGCGCCGCCCAATCTCACCTTGGTGAACCCGTGTCCAAATATGCTTCTGGACGGGTACCGACCAGTCATAATGGAGTACCGCGAAGGTGTACATGTGGACGAGGTGGAATACGCTCTCGAAAATATGGCACCCGTCTGCATTATGGCGTCGAGCCTGGGCATCATCCCAGAGTTCGGGATAGGCCTCGAGTGAATGGGCAGACTGGATGAGAAGTCGGGGGTGATGGACTGGTCTTCTCCCATCGGGCCGTACTCTGAGAGGTACATGTCGTCGGGCAAGAAGAGGACGATGTTTGGCCTCAGCGAGGCGGGACTGGCACCAGCTGCGTCCAGGCCCGCACTCGACGGCGGGCTGAGGCCGTGCGTGTGCTGCAGCATGGACACCTCGGGCAGGTGACTGCCGCCATCCTCCTCGGCAGTCGCGGAAGCGCGCCGGGTGCACTCCTCGGGCGCGCCAGAAGCGGCGGCAAGAGAGCGGGCGACGAGGAGCAGGAACGCACGCCTGCCCCACGCCGCCATTTGCCCGCCGGCACGCCGGGCGCGGGCACCCCGGGGCCAGAAGCGGCCTGAGCTCGGGCCCGCCTGGCTGCGAACGCGACTCCACCCAGACCCGAGGAAACCGACGAAGCTGCGTCTGTCTGTTCCGGCGGCCCGCGGCGACGAGCAGCTGGGAGGGAAGACGACGCGGGGTAATGGAACGCACCTCTGCGTCCGAGAGCGCCGAAAAGGGAAAAAGAGGAAAGGAATGAGGCGGGTAATGAATGGGGAATGAGGAGAAGAAGCAGGAGGGAAAAGGAGGAGGAGGGGAAGGAGTGTGAGCCGTGGCTAGTTTGGCTTCGTCCCTTTTGGCCCCAAGGGGGTTGCCCAGATCGACAGGCAGCGACTGCATGCCCTTCCTGACGCGGCCGAGCGCACGGCCCGGCGCCAGCAGACCCCGAGCCACGGCCGCCGCGGCCACGGCCGCGGAGGCGACGGGCGGAGCTGCGAGGCGTGCGGGTGCACGCAGCACCTCCTGCGCTGGACCTGGTGCGAGCACTGCCAAGCCTGAAGTCGGGCGTGTCCCTCTGCAGGAGGAATGTTCAAAAATAGTCAAAAGTAGCCGGGGGACGATCTTTCGACTATTTTCTGACGATTTCCGTTTTTTTTTGTTTTGTTTTTTGTTTTTTGTTTTTTGTTTTTCTTCTTCTTCTTCTTCTACCGCAAATCGCCTGTAGGAGGACATGCTCGACCTAAGCCACGCCCCCAGGCCCGCGGGCCAGCCACTGTGGTCCCGTCGGCCTAGGGGCCTGCCTCTGGGGCCGACGGAGAGACCGACGGCGCCATCGGCAACCCCCGAGCTCTCCAGGGAGTGGTGGGCCTTGGCGCAGCAGTCTGACGACACCGGCACGGTGGAGGGGCACAACGGTGGGAGACCGACAAGATGCAGGAGGAAAGCAAGGCCAGGCCCGTCAGGGCTGCCCAAGACCCCGCGGAAGGTCGCGGCCGTTGATCGCAGGCTTGCCCATGAGACCGACACCCTGGCACCGTACCAGTGGGCGGGCACCCAGCAGACGGGGCTGGTGCAGCAGCTGGCAGTGGACCTCGGGGCGGCGGAGCAAGACTGCAAGAGAGTCCTCGCCGAGGAGTGCGATGCAAAGCACGACGGTACCAGGAGCCCGACAGGAATGCACGACAGCCCTCGCCCAGCCGCAAAGGTGCACCGCACGGGCTCCGCCTCAGGACGCTCCGCGGCGGGGCCAGCCCAGCGGCTCCGAACTCGAGGGCGCCAGGCTCGCTGGCCTTGGGGGCAGCGGGCTCGGGCCAGACGACGAGGCTGGAAGAAGAAAACACGCCACAAGAATAAGCTTTTGGCGCTCCGCGCGGATGTCTCGGACCCGCGCGGAGCGCCAAAAGTTTATGCTCATGGCGTTTTTCTTCTTCGAGAGGCCGAGGTCCAGACGAGCGGGTCGCTCGCTGGTGCGGCAGCTCCTCGGCGGGGCCGAGGCCGAGTGCGGCGCGGCGCTCTGCGGGCCCACGGGGGGGCAGAAGAGAGGCGCCTGGCCGCCAAGAGCGCCCCCAAGCTCTGCCTCCGCCCCTCTCCTGCCGGGTGCCCCAGCCAGCAGCGACCCGCGAAATCCGCGCGGACCTCCAGGAATTGATGCTCGACCACCCTCCCTCCCTCCGTGCCTCCCGCCCCCTCCTTCTCTTCCTCCTCCTCCTCCTCCTCCTTCGCCTCTTCATCCTCATCCTCATCGTCCTTCTCCTCCTCCAACTCCTCCGTCTCCGTCTCCGTCTCCGTCTCCGTCTCCTCCTCCTCCTCCTCCTCCTCCTCCTCCTCCTCCTCCTCCTCTCTTCCGCTCACGCCGCTTTCTGCTCTTCGACCAGGGGGGGTGGCGTGGCTTCTCTGGGGGGGGGCCGCCGAAGGGGTCCAGCGCCAACTCAACAGTCCGCGCGGGCCTCCAGCCATGCATGTTTATGCAATCTCTGGTTCTTCGCCCAGTCGTGCCGCTGAGAGAGTGACAGGTGGTACAGTCAGACCCATGACAGAGAAACCTCTTCCAAAAACATGATACCCTCCGCCGGCCCACACACACAGACCATCCAAGGGTGCCCTCCACATGATGTACAAGAACATTCAACGAACACGAAGAACATTAGGATACCTTCCCCGAACCGACCTCGATCTTATACCTCGGTCCGACTGACTGGGGCACCGCTGATTCAACAGCTTGGGGGAGGCTTCCAAGCGCTCGCGCGCGGCTTGACGCACGGTGAGGCCAGTAGGCCGCGCAGTGGACGCGGAGGCACGGGCCCTCTTTCTGCACACCAACTGCCTGACGGCTCCGACTGGCCACCATATATTTTCCAACGCTCCTGCGCTGGAGTGCGAAGGTCGCGACCTTTCTCTCTCGCCTCCCTCCTCCTCTCCTCCCTTATCCTGCTCTGTCCTGCCTCTTACTTGCCTCCTGCCTGACAGCCGACCTGCCTCCTACCTCGCCATCCCCGGGGGGCTGCGGCGTGCGAGTTTGTCGCCACTTTCGAGGGCTGCTGGGGGGGCCAGCGCAGTCGTGGGCTACGCAGTTTCAAGTCAGAACTCGCCATCCCCTGGGGGGCTGCGAAGTGTGAATTTGTCGCCACTTTCGAGTGCTTCTGTGGGGGCCAGCGCAGTCGGGGGTTACGCAGATCCGTATTCGACATCGTCATCCCTGCGGGGCTGCGAAGTGTGAAACTGTCGTCTGTTTCCAGATTGGCCTCGCAGTCCCTGGGGGGCTGCGAAATGTGAAACTGTAGCGTATTTTGAGGGCCGCACGGGGGGGGGGGGGAGCAGCACAGTCGGAGGCTACGCTCAGATTAGACCTCGCCATCCCTGGGGGCCGCGAAATTGTAAACTGTCGCCACCTTCGAGGGCTGCTGGGGGGGGGGCAGCAGTCGGGGGTTACGCACATCCATATTCGACATCGCCCTCGAAACGGTCGCCACATTCGAGGGCTGCTGTTGGGGCCAACACAGTCGGAGGCTATGCATATTGAGATTAGACTTCACCATCCACAGGGGGGCCGCGAAATGTGAAGCTTCCCCCACTTTCCAGGGCTGCTGGGGGGGAGGGGGGAGGCACAGTCGTGGGCTACGCCGATTCAAACTAGACCTCGCCGTCCCTGAGGGCTGCGAAGTGTGAAACGGTCGACTATTTGGAGGCCTACTGTTGGGGCCAACACAGTCGGGGGCTACGCAGATTCAGAATAGTCCTCGCCATCCCTGGGGGGGGTGGGCTGCGAAGCGTGAACCTGCCGCCACTTTCGAGGGCTGCTGTGGGGGCCAACAGGATCGGGGGCTACGCTGGTTTAGATTGGACCTTGCCACTGGCAACATGTGAATCTGGCGCCATTTTTTAGGGCTTCTGGATGGGGGGGGGGGGCAGCATAGTTTTCCCTGGGTGGCTGCGAAGTGTGAAACTGCCGCCACTTTCAAAGCCTTCTGGGGGGGGGGGGCAGCACAGTCGGTGCTACGCAGCTTCAGACTAGACCTCGCCATCCCTGGGGGGCTGCGAAATGTGAAACGGCCGCCACTTTCGAAGGATGCTGCGGAGGGGGGGGGGGCGCAACAACGTCGGGTCCTACTCAATTTCTCTCGGTGACGTTCTCCAGGGCCACGGACTCGACAATCTTTTGATGACGTGGGGCCCGCGGCCAGACTTCCCTCCCAGCGGGGCGCGTGGCCTCCCTATCGGTGTCATGAGAACACCGTAACGCGTGAGCATCCCGTGTACTGAGCATTTTCTTAGGGTGGGGGGCTCAGGGTGAAATCCGTATGGGCTTTTGCACATCGGAAACCAGTCGGTCTTGTGATTCACCTCTTGCAGACTCAAGCCTCGAAAATCCATCGAACCGGCATTTCAGATTTCGCCCTTTGCCCTCCACCCTAAGACCATGCTCGGATGTATCTTCCGCGACACCCCGCCTGAGGACCCTGCCGCGGGCAGGTGCGCGGGCAGCTGAACATCGACCATGCCTCTGGGGGACGTGCCCCCCCTGGAACAGCTCAGTCCGAGCCGATCGGGCTGGCAAAGGCGTCGCCAGCTGCCCCCGAACCTCTCGGCGGCTACATGGAGCCCCCCGACAAAAAACGTTTCTTGCCATGCCATCGTCCGTGATATCTTTGTCCCGCTGCTCTCCTCCATTCTTGCAGAGAGGTTGGACACGTCGCGAGGGAATTTTTGAAGGTCCGTGCGCGCTCGCGCGGTGCGAGCAGACGAGTACCGGACGGGGTGTCCAATGGACTCTCTCCCCTAAGGAGGAGGAGGAGGAGGAGGAGGAGGAGGAGGAGGAGGAGGAGGAGGAGGAGGAGGAGGAGGAGGAGGAGAGAGATAAAAGTAGTGGTCCAGGCTTCAAGGAGATGAAGAGTAAAACGGAGGAGGAGGATGAGGAGGAGGATGAGAGGAGTGGTGGTCCAGGCTTCAAAGGGGAAAGGAGTAAGCAGAGAAGGAGAAGAAGAAGGAGGATAGGAGGAGGGGGAGGAGGAGGAGGAGGAGGAGGAGGAGGAGGAGGAGAAAGAGGAGGACCAGAGTAAACCCAATACGCATGAACGAAATTGCAAAATAACCCCTCCCTTCAAATTCCCTCATCATATCCATACAAGAAAATGCCGACTCTGTCGGCCTGTGTGAGACTTCTTCCGCTTGAGTGGCCGTCGCCACTTTCCCCCTTCCCCTGGGAGCTCTTCCTCAAGCGACCCAGCCAGACGAAAATCTCGCAACGTCGTAATCGAGTCAAAGGGAAGCCTCTCCCATCCCTGCGCCCAGGTGGGGGGTTCTCGCGGGGGTTCGACCCCCCCCCCCGGGGGGGGGGTCCCGGGGATCGTGGCCCAAGAAGGCCCCACAGAGCCGCAAGAGGAGGAAAACCAATCGATTCGACGGGAAAGCCCTTGATCCCTTGCGGTCCCAGAGGGGATCCTGGGGGTGTCCCGAGGCCAACAGGGCCCACACGGGCCCCCACGAGGGCTCGCGAGCGTCGTCGTCGTCATCACCGTCGTCGTGTTCGTCGTCCCCGTGTCAGGGTCGGCGGCACCGGCCGAAAGGCCTTCGCAATCTATTTTCGTTGCGGGAGATGGCCCATTAGAAGACAGTCG